CCACACACACACTGGTAAAGTAATACAACTCATCGGTCTTAAATTATATGCTAGAATGCTACATGTATACATGTATATACCATGCCATATGCCAAGGGCCTAGGGTATACTCGGTTTGGACAACAAAACATTATTTCATGCACAGGTCAGTAAGGTGCCTGATACTGTGATAGACAGTCCAGGATTTGTCCTTCTCTTGCTGTTCCTTCTGGCTAGTCTGTAGTTAACATAGTCTTCCTGCGATTTTACCTACACTCAGCTGTAGAATCTTTTCTTCTCCTTAACAGATCGTCGTTCCGCCAGATTGTGAACTTCCTCTGTCCCTACTTGTATCTCTTGGTCCCACAAAACATTTGAAAATAAATGACTAGTATCAAGTTAGAAGGAACTTACTCCAAAGCAGCAACCGTTGCCCTGTGAGGCCAGACGGGTTTAGTGGACTGTACTAGCAACATTTGTACAGAGTCTGGATAGTATCTGTAACATACCTGAAGTAGGCCATATCATTCAGAGTGTTCTTATGCAAGTTCTAGCTTGTGTCCTGAACAATGGATTCCGAGGACATGATTCATCGATTATTCATCCTTCAACCTTGTTACAACACCTAAAACATGCCCAATCAACACATTAGCCCCATCCACGCCAGCTGCAACCAGTTTGTCACGTCACCAAAATCTTGCTGCATTACTTGGACTAACTCTCTGGTTGTGGATTCTGCATCAGCTTTTTGCAAAGCCTTCAAAGCAACAAATTGATCCACTGTGCTTTTACTTCAGCAAAGAGTCGTGTATGTACATGGCGAATGCTTGGCACATTTATCCTGTTGGTATGTCTCACCGATATTGACAAGGCCATTACACATTTCTAACTCTAACAGTCCTTTGAATCGATAAAAGGTCTCCCCTTTTGGCTAATATAAGTAGAAGAGAAGGCAGTCCAAAACAGCACCTACATTTGAGCCATTCTCTGTTCTTTCGTCCTCTCAAGATCTTGAAGGGCCTTTTCTTACAGATTTTGATAAAACAACGCACAGTACAGTCAAAATATGCTATTTTTTCACTTGTTAAAGGTGAACTAATTTTTAAAAAACGTAGACAACAAAAAAGGTGTCTATACAGTAGCTATCCTACCACCCAAACCTGCCCAAAGCACGACGCCCTACCGGCGCAACGCCGCGCTAGCCACTGTCTCCCCGCACGAACAGTCCATCCGGAATCCGAAGTGCTTCGCCTCGACGGGTTTTGTTGGGGTGGTGGGGCTTCGACGAGCGCAAGACGTGGCCGAGAATCGGGGCTAACCCAGACAGAATGACGTCATGCTGGGATTGCATTGTGGGTGATGACGTCATACCTTCCGGTCCAATAGCCACGCATAACAGCAATAGCAATGAGGAAGGTGACAGACGGTCACCAAAACGTCGACTGAATAAAAGACTCGGTTGTGTAAAAAGAGTCCTTCACTCACTTGATTTACTTAATCCTTTATTTCCAAAACTCTGACATGACATGCAAACAATGTCCAACTTCATGTTCTTTCACAAATATTTATTAGTGTGACAAGTATCCAACCTTATATACAAAAACAGTCATCTTCTTATGGTAAGAGCAATGTTCTTGTATAAGCAATGGTAAGAGCAATGTTCTTTCATACCACAGTTTATTTTGCTTTAATTACATGAATGCACACAACTACGAACTCTTGTTTACCGTAAATTGCATCGGTGTGGTCTTACAAAGGAAATCTCGCTTCCTTATACATAAGAAACCATAAAAAGTCTAGGTTGCTTTGACAAAACATTACAAATTTCCGTTAATAACAGTAAGAACTTACAAATACCGTCAAAACTGCCCAAGGCGACCACCCAGGGGACCGAAGAAAAGCGGAGAGATTCGCCTCAGAACATGACTGAGACATAAATGTTTCGCAATGCTTTAATGTCAAATACTGTAAACATCTTCAGTCCAGCCCAGCATATGGGGAGGGTGGCACATGGCACAATTTAAGTCGAAAAAAACATCGTCCAGCTTCGTCCAGAGGTAAACTGGCTGGTTTTTCCATTATTTCTTAGTTATCGTCAATTATCAACAGGTATCAGGCCTTGAGCGGACCCAACTTAGGGTGGTCACGGTCGCGTTGTCCAGGTGATCACCTTAGACAGGTTGTTTAATGCTTGCGTCAATGGGGAAATTTTTGGGACCGAGAAAAGCGGTCACAATGACCAGGTGGCCAGCTTGGAGACCTTGACAGGTTTTACTGTAGTTACCAGTGTGAGATGACGTTGCCATCTTGTACCGGTAGTTAATGTTATGTATATACGTAACTGTAATACTGCCACCTTGCAAAGGAATAAAAGTCGAGTTTGATACCATTGATACCATTGAACCTTTGACAAAACCTTGTTTATTACCATACCATATGTAATTGTCGTACTTTTTTCCGTACGAAGAGGAATCTATTGTTAGTTTTTGGGTTCTGTTAACTTCCGTTTATTCCGCTGATATTGCGTTATTGCCTTTTATCTTGACAATACATTCTTTTTTTCTTAGAACAGCAAAAAAAAACATAAATACAAACAAGACTGTGTCGAACTCAAGTTTCATGGAACTTATATTAACGGCGCCATCTACACAAAATGATTAAACAAAGATATGGTAATTACATGGACAATAAGTAAATAAGCAAAATCGAAAAAAACAATTGGTGTTTAGTAAATGGAATTTAACGAGCGCAAGTCGCAACCCCAGTACATTCTTAATAACAAATAAACTCTTGAGTTGAAACATCTAGTCATTACTTCTGATTATATAGTGATAACGTTGCCTCATCATCAGGGTCTGGGACCGGGAACCCCTGACCTGATGATGACCTATTTGTGACAGTCTTGGTTGTTACGTAGTTTTCCGTTTGTATGTAGTTTTCGGTCTACTGTTTTTGTTTATCATATTCGGTTTTCTTTCCTTTATATTTTTGTATACATGTATGTTGTTTCTATGCAAAACACACTTTTCTTACACCAGTCACCTGAGGACACACCCTACTACAGAGGGATGACAAAGCGGTCCTCGTCAACCTGACGGACGAACGACACCAGTACTACCAAACGATAACGAACACTTCAACATTGCTTGTTACTACAGCGACTTTGGATTAGGTTTGGTATCAAGTGACAAAGTGCTTAGCCCAATAAGTATTGTCTGTGACGTTTGTGAAGCCGAAGAAAAAGACTTGCTCCCATTCACCTGATACTGACCCTGCTTCTTCTTTCCTGTGCAGATGAACTTCTTCCAGCACGTCAGTTTCTTCCGCCACTTCGTCATGTCTTCTCTCATCACACAGTGGAAGATGAAGATGAAGAGGCCCTGGAGGGTGTTGAAGATGCAGAACAGGTAGGCGAAAACCGTGCGCGCGTCATCGATGACGAAGAAGCCGAACACCCATGTGAGACCAAACAGAGCCATGATGCTGCCGGCTCGACGAATCTGCAGGATGATCCACTGACGATCTACCTCGATAGCATCAGCACCTATACCTGAAACGAAAACCGTCGAATAACATTATTTTTGTTGTGTTTTGTGTGTGTGTCTATGCGTGCTTGTGTATGTCTTTGTGTTTCTTTGTACATATCCTTTACGGTGAGCTTTAATATCACAGGCAAACGCTCCGTAGGAGGCAAGCGCAAGAGGTTTAGGACCAATTGAAAAGCAACCTAAAGTCCTGCGGCATCGAGCCACAAAGCCTAGAACAACCTGCAGCTGACAGAAACCGCTGGAGGCAGACATGCTCGACAGCTGCTGAGCTATACACATCCAGATACGACCAGAAGGCGAAGGCCAGCAGAGTAAGACGTACTCAGCAGCAAGCCAGCTCAGCAGCAAGGCCAGTACTATTGCCGTACGTCTACGAGGTTTGCGGCCGGGTCCTGGCTGCGAGAATTGGCCTCATCAGCCACCGACGAACCCACCGAGAGTTAGAGACTACACTGAGTTAGGTCATCATCGAAATCGATGGACAGCCTTAAGTAAGAAAAAATATATATAGGTGACTGTGTGTGTGTGTGTGAGAGAGAGAGAGAGAGAGAGAGAGAGAGAGAGTGAGAGAGAGAGAGTATGTGTTCCATAACCAGGCCTATCTAGATCTATGGCACAGTGTTCGGATCGGGCACACGTACGGTTCTTGATAGTCACCACGTATACGTCGATTTGCAGGCTCGGTTCTTGGTGCGCGTGGACTGTCTAGAACCGTACTTGAGCACGCTTCTTGATGAACAAGCACGTCGATTTGCAGACTCGATTCTTAGTTTGTGTGTATGTGTGTATGGTTTTGTTTGTGTGCATGTGTGTGTGGTTTTGTTTGTATGTATGTGTGGTTTTGTTTATGTGTTTGTGTGTGTGTGTGCATGCCCGTAGCCAGGGGGGAACCCCCCACAAGGCTCAAAGGTCCACTTTTTGGTCCACTTTTTATGTAAAGGTCCAAAATTTTTCTTGAAAACATGGACTGGAATCGTAGAAAAACTGCTCCGTTTGTCATTGAATAGAAATTTATCTCTGATTTTTTTCTTGGAAATCCTCCAAAAATGCACGAAATGCCATTTTAGAAGGTTCATTTTGCAAAATTTTCCGGGGGAGCATGCCCCCAGACCCCCCTAGGAACCTATCGCCATTGGCGCTCGAGGTCCCCTCAAGCAGTGGGAAGAACCCCCCCCCCCC